TGTGTTCATTTTAGAAAAGTTTTGAAGCAACATTATTGATAATTCGACCGAGAATTCCCATTAAATCTCGCATATTTCATTAACGAGATGTACAAATAAATGAAGGAAGCAGAAGAGCGCATCATTGTTACTAACTGTATTCGGGATCAATGCGTAGTATCTGTTCACATTTTGCAAACGAGAAGACGATTCCCGGTGATTCCAACCATATTGCACTAAAAATCCGTGGAGCCAGCGCGACAGGGGTCGCGAGGACTGGGTACTTTTTGGATTAGACGAAGGCACTCCCACATTAAAATGACAAAAAAAAAAAAAATCGTGTCACATCTTGCTACAGTGGGGAGGAGAGTACATAAACACGAAACAGTATCTCCCTATTTCATAAAAGTGTATTCCGAGGTCTTCGGAAAACTGGGCAAACTTTCTCCTTACCTAAGCGCGTAAATATGGACACTAACGTTAAACTGACCATTTATTACGTTCATTATATGTAGGTAGGCATTTTTGTTTGTATAATGACAGAGTAAATTGTAGAGAATGGAAGATAAATAAAAGAATGATTGTGCCTGTATTTTAATGTCTTCACACGTTAAACCAGATTTTTGTTATCAACATGTTGTATTTTTATAGCTCTCTGTTGTAGAGTAGATTTGTCTAAGCTCATATCAAAACTTGAGTGAGCCGACGTTGTACCACTTTCTTTTAGGGACGTCTAGACTAACTATTTTATTTGTTAAAAGATTGGATTACAGTGAACTAAATTATTGGATCTGCTCCAAAGGAGAAGTTTTGGCAAATTTTGATGACAGTCACAAAACAATACAAACCACTCCATGTTTTATATCAGTGATTTTTAACCATTTTTTTTTTACAGCGCCCCTTTTCAAACGTTTGCACAAGTTGGCAACCCATATATTAAAATTGCACTGGTAAAGTGGACATAGTTATTGCAACATTTTTACCTTATTACCAATCACCGGAAGTAAGGTTTGGCGGGAGCAACCAAACAGGATATCTATACCGTATCATCGACGCTGCCGGATTTTTTCGTGCAGGGTTTTGCTCCATACATATGTGGCAATTGAAACTAAATGTTTAAAAATGAAAGATATGGGCAAAAATGTAAACAAAATGCGTATATACAAGGTGCGGCACCTCCTACATGCATCTCCCAGAAATACCCCACTTCGATGATTACATATAGAGAAATCCAGCGCCTACGACATTAATTCGTTCTTAATTAATTGACGTCAACCGGACGTAACGCCTTAAAATAAAAACTAACGCCGTACAACTGTAAATAACGCTAAACTTGAAAAGGAGAATTAAAAACACATTTTTCAGGGAATAATGAAAACAAAAATAGAGGGTTTAGCAGAAATACTTTCCACACATATACCTCGTTTCTATACCTGCTGCATAATAGTAAGGTATCAGTGGCAACGGTGTTTTCATCTAGCTAATGTCTTACCATTATATGAGAGGGATTTCTGCGAGGTATATGTAGCAGGTATTTCGGCCGAATCTTGTAAAATGCTCAATCCAGTTTGAAAGTGTTAACTCATACTTATTATAAAACCCAGGTTGTGTGTGTGTGTGTGTGTGTGTGTGTGTGTGTGTGTGTGTGTGTGTGTGTGTGTGTGTCTGTACGTTTATATATTAGATCGGATTTCCTACATTTTTCAACCGATTTCAACAAAACTTCACAGGACTACGTAAAATTACCTTGCGGTGGTTCTGACAGCGCCAAAAGTTGGAAAAACACAATTGTTTTTGCACGAAATCAATTTGAAAACACGATTAAGAGGCATCGCTGTCGCGAGAATGAAAGGGGAACAACTCATATCGAGTTATACTTATAAAACCCAGGTTGTTTGTGTGTGTCTGTATTCGTTTATATATGGGATCGGATTTCCTACATTTTTTAACTGATTTCAACAAAACTTCACTTTTTTTTGGCAGGTAGTGTTTCTTATTGTCTTGCACACTTTTTTCTTTATTTTTACATTCAGAAAGCTTTAAAAATTCCATTTACAAGACAATTGTTTATCATAAAATTCTATTCAATCGGTAGACTCATAACGATTCAAAACAATGTTTTTGTTTGAGTTTGGGTTTGACCAATTCGTAAAACAAAAAAACTAATTAAGACATGTGTGTCTGTCAACCTTAAACAGTAATCTTTGTCAATTTTATTTTTCAGTCTTTATGATGGTCGATACTTGATCTATCTCTTACTGTTACATCCGCGGGCAACGCCGGGCTCTACTGCTAGTCATCAATAAAATTATAGCACTTCCCATGGACACTGGCTGTCGCCATTAGAATTCCCAGCACCCTCGAAGTTATGTTACTCCCTAGGTTGCGAATCACAGTTTTATATAAAAAAGGGTTAATTCGTTGTGTTTTTTTTTCTTTTCTAGATATCTTAAACAGATCACTAACTCGCCATGACTCCATATCTTAAGTGCTTAATTTTAATTATTTTCTTTACTAATAAACTAAATGTTTCTGAGAGTAAAAAACAAAATGGGGATTAAATAATGAGTTTAGCAATTGTCGGCCTAAAATTTATATTCGCAATTTTCAGCCTTCAACCTGTATGTTACGAATTGAAAATTGGAAATCAAGAAAGCAATTCTGTTGCATAAGATGAGCAAAGATTTTCGGTTGAAAATAAATCGTTCAGCTTGTGATATGCTTGACTTGCAAATATTCGTTTTTGGGAATTTCTAAAATTTCTAGATTGAAATATTCTACGAAACCACGAAATCCCCTGAAAATGGGAAATATAATATGCGGCCATTACTCTTTCTGAATGGAATGTTTTGTCAACTTTCGCTCTGAGGCTAATTCAGTATTGTCTCCGAAAAGAACGGTTAGATGGAATTGCGAACTATATCTAGGTACATTTTAGTTAAAGTGATTTCCTTTGGGTATACTAGACAACATTCGAAATGACTTGCGATTAGCCAATATATGTGAATGGAAAGAGACAATGCGTACATAAAAATCAACATAGAATATGACTCTTAGTTATATACCTTTAACTTTATCCATAGTTTAATTTGAAAATAATTCGAGGAATGAAGCTGACAGTCAAAGTGTAGTTGCTGTACGCACTGCCTATATACTATAAACTCTATCTCCAATATTGAACACTCTACTAGAAATATTGCAAATTCTAAACAATATATATATATATATATATATAACTAAAATAAATCCTAAAGAGCAAGGAAAACCTTTGTTTTTAAATTTCCTTAAAAATCATTTAATCACAAGTTTCTTACCATCTTCTGAAGAAGTACAATCATACTATTGAAACATGAAAGCATTTGTGTAGCGATTTCAACATTTTTTATTATAATATATATATATATATATATATATATATATATATATGTGTGTGTGTGTGTATGCGCGCGTGTGTGTTTATTGACTGATTTTATTTTTACGGTTTATCATACCTTTGCAAGTTATTTAAAGCCAAAAAATATCTTTAGAATGTAAGAATTGTTTGGCAGATAAAACTGATTTACTAAAACGTGTTCTACTAATTAACCCATAGCTGGGGGAGAAGAAGTGGATCAATACATTTAACAAGGGTATTTGCGCGTAAATGAATATAACGAACCAAATTTAATGTTTAATGTTTAAAATTTGCTATGTTCATATGAGAACAATATTCGATATCGGATATTGAACCTTTATAGATATAAACAGGATTTTACGTCTCAGTGCGATCTCCAGTTGTTTCACAAAAATTTCTGCAACCTCTTTCCGGTTGTAAGTATACGTCTCCTTTTTGTTCACATTGTCTTTAAAACTTCCTCGTTGTTCACATACTCCTTCCATGGTAATCTTTATATACTTCTGTAGAACCTCGTCTCTGTTATCTTTATATCTGACAGGAAATTATCCAGTATTCATTGCCATATAGAAGAATAGATATAATATGGTAATTTCAGACATTTTTATTCTAACATTTAGCTATCTATGCATTCAATGTATCGTACATTGAGTGCTGGTAGTAATAAAACAGTAGTCGATATATCGGGTGTAACAGTGAAATTGTCCAAATCGTGTAACAGCATGCGATAATTGTCCATTCTACATTTAATATCTAAAAAACGAAAAAAAAAACACAAAAAAACAACCAAACTAATTGAGTTTCGTTTTTCCAGGTTTTCAGATAAGACGTTTAGCCATCTTGACATCATTTATATTAAGAATCACTGAAAAACCCTTCGAGTTATTCAGCTAGAAAGAGAATATTTTAAAATCGTTTTGTGCCATCCCTGCTATGTTTTCTCTACTGAGCAAGGTGAAACGAAAAAGATCCTTCAGGCCTTCAGTAATGGTACCAACATTCATATTCTGGCTTCCATCTTCAAAGCCCATTCAGGAACCATCAAGAGAACGGTGAATAAGTTTTTAAAAAAGGGAATAGTAGAGAGAAAAACTGGGTCAGGAGATCACAACAGGAAGAGGGATCATCATTTCAACTTAGAGATAAATACATTCTTATGATTCAAAGTAGAGTCCAGTAGTGTTATAAAAAAAAAACAAAAAAACAAAAAAACAAAAAACAAAAACGAAAAAAAACTTGGCGACTTCCAGTAAGATACCTTTAATCATTTTTAAGATACAATATTCCAAAGTTTAATCTAACAATTTTAACAATTTTGGTGTTACACGATTTGGCCAGGTATGTTAAAATTTATACTACTACTACTACTACTACTACTACTACTACTAATAATAATAATAATGATAAAATAATTTTGTTTCTCACTGGTATCACAACTCTGAATTTCATGCACGAAACAATCGTCAGGTGCACATATATATATATATATATATATATATATATATATATATATATATGAACTGATTGTAATTGTTTAGTCCACTCGTCAGCAGGTCACAGCAATTGACTGCCGTTTATCCTCATTTTTCATCACCTTTATAATAATTTTGATGTGATTAATTTATGC